TTTTTAAACATGTCCTTATTAATCATTTAATATTAAACAATAACTGCTAATTATTGTATAACCAAACAGTTATATTTATCGAATCTGTTATTTATTATCTGCTACTCACTTTTCGTTATCTACCATCTACTGTCTGCTAACCGTCATCCGCTATCTGTTATTGTTATCCATTACTGCTATCCGTTATTCGCTATTCACTATTCATTATTTGTTACTCCTTTATCCATTATTCACTGAATTTTAACCGTTGTACCAAACAGGTTTTTAAAGCAAGAAGGCACAGATTTGTAACTGGCACAAGATTGATTTTTTGAAAACAATGAATTTGTAACGGCTGGAATTGATTTTTTTTTTTTTTTGAAAATGGCTGAAATTGATTTTGAAAATAAAGGATTTGTAACCCAATGAAATTGAATAATCGGTTACAATTTTTTTTTAATTAAAATTTAGAACATAGTGCGCGACTAGTTAAGGCCATATAAGTACTTTTAACTTATTGAGAACTTTAATGACCTGTCCTTTTCCTTCTCACTATCCTTTGGTGTCTGGTACATCATATGGGTCTAACGTCTTTTAACTTATGTTAACATAAAGTAAACAGTGAAAGGCAACCCTTATAATTTGAGAAGACTGCCTTGTTTCTGTTTATTTATCAAATCAGACTTCAAATTACATTTTTTAAATTTATTTAGTGATAACGAGCGATGCAAATTTTCTTTATCATTGTCCTTAGGTGTCTGGTACATCATATGGGTCTAACGTCTTTTAACTTATCCTAACATAAAGCAAACAGTGAAAGGCAACCCTTATAATTTGAAAAGACTGCCTTGTTACTGTATATTTGTCAAATCGGACTTCAAATCACATTTCAAATGCATTTACTGATAATGAGGGTTGCAAATTGCACAACTTCGCAAATTTTTGCAAAATTTGTCTGTGTCAGTCTTTAGCGCCCACACCCACAAGGACAATTATCACCTTCGCGATCGGTGAGAGTGTTAACTTCTAGGTTAAATGCTAAATTTGATCCCTCAACTTTAGTGGTTTGCACATTTTTGGTCCCTTGAGAATTTTTTGCACTTTTTTGATCCCTTAACTATACGAAATGCACTCCGTTAGTCCTTCTGTTAATTCGGGTCGTTAACTCACTTAGGTGGTATTTTTTATAATTTTTTTTATGACGTGGCAAAAATAAATTTAAAAAACGTTGATGTGGAATTTTTTTTTTTAAGCCAACTCATTGCCAACACATCAACTAATTTTGTCTTAATAAAAAATAGAAAATTACAAATTTACCCTCTCCCCTTTTTGATCCATCTTCTTCCTCTCTTTCGATCATCTTCTTCCTTTCTTCTTTTTCTTTTTCTTCTTTTTCTTTCTTCCTCTTCTTTCTTCCTCTTCTTCCTCTATATCCGGAACCCAGCAGATCTGGGTTCCCGTGGAACCCAGCAGATCTGGGTTCCGGTGGAACCCAGTTGGCTGGGTTCCCATGGAACCCCGTGGGCTGGGTTCCCTGAACCCAGCTCCACTTTTTTGCATTTTTTTTTTTGTTATATGTTGGATTATATGTTTGTTATATGTTAAAAATGGAAATGGAAAGAACAGAAGCAGTTGGGCAAAGAAGCTTAGTGTGTTTTCATTTGTTTGGCT